ACAGCGTTTATATGTGCTCGGGAAGCTCAAATCGAGCTTATTACAAATTTTATAACTTTTACATTAATTTTTCGCATACCACTAACATTAGCTCCACGTACCACCAGTGGTACGCGTACCATACTTTGAAAATCATTGCTATAAGTGATTCTCTAGCACCGTACGTGGATAGTATAGACTGTGGAGTCAATAGGGATAAAATAATTATATTATGCTATCCCGGGGTATGGGTACAAGATAAAAGTCACAGAGCAAGTTATATAGTAAAGGGTGCTAGCAGTGATGCAGTCTTTGTAGTGCACACCGGGGCTAATGATGTAGGGAAAGGTAAGTGAGAGGAGCAAATTGTTAAGTACAAGGGACTGATAAAGGCATTCAAAGAAAAGTGCCATAATAACTTAATTCCATCAGAGATACTGCCAAGACTTAATTGTGAGAATGAAATTATAAATAGGTCTCTATGTTTGAATGCTAGGCTTAGGTTAATATATAAGAATGAGCAGGTTGGCTGGATGGATTTGTGGGAAAATAAACTTTTTTGGATGGATGGTTTACAGTTAAATTATGTTAGAGCTGGCCTGTTTGCAAGGGATATTAACTCAACTGTAAGGGCAACTTTAAAATAGGGGTAGACAGTGGCGAGGGCCAGAATCATGAAGAAAAAATAGAATGTACAGAACAGTATAGTGTAAAAGCAAAGTACGAATGTAGTTTTAATAATAGGCTAAACTGTTGTTATATTAATGCTAGAAGTAAAAGAAATGAAACAGATGACTTTGAGCACTAGTCACAAAAGACTATTTTGATGTGATGGGAACAACGAAAACTTGGTTAAATTTAGACAGTTTGGATGACACGAATATCTTTGAAATGTAAGGTTATAGGTTGTTTAATAGGAATAGAGTATAAAAAAGGGTCAAGAGTAGCTTTATATGTAAAATGTGAGTTACAGCCTATTTAAAACTATTCATTGCTGATAGCAATGAGGTTGAATCTGTTTGGATTTCTTTTAGTGGTATAAGGGGAAAAAGCTTTTAGTTGGATTTTGTTACAGACCACCAGATGACAGTTATGAAATTAATAAGTATTTCTAAAATGAGATAAAGAAGTTAGATGCTAATGATATTATAATTATGAGAAATTTTAATTTCAGACATATGGACTGAGAAATGTCAAAGTCAACTCATTCGGGAGACAGGATTTTAGAGACTATTCAAGATTGTTTTCTTCACCAATTGATTAGGGAACCTACTATAAACAATGCTGTTTTAAAGTTATTGTTGATAGGGTGAAGACTGGAGAACATCTGGGTGTAAATGATCATTGCTCAATTAGATTTTATGTTTTCTTGCATATACAGATAATGAATAATGAGATTTTGGTACTAAATTTTAAAAAAATCAAATTTTGAAGGGATAAGACAAAAATTATGTGCAATGAATTGAACAATTAAATTAATTGGAGATACTGATCAAATATGGAAAAATTTTGAAAATAACTTCCCAAATATTCAAGATAGACATGTTCTTTATAGACAAAAACGATTGGCTCCAAGTAAAAGATCAGGCTGGCTCACAAAGAGTATAAAGGATAAAATCAAAGAAAAGCATTATAAATATACGAAGTTTACATTTACTGCAATGCTGGGAGATTTAGAAAATTATAGAAGATCAAGAAAATTGGTCAGACGGGAAATTAAAAAATAAAAATATATGCAAAAATGTTGGCTTGAAATTTAAAAATTAATAGTAAGGATTACTTTGAATATATTAAGGGTAAGCAAAATTTTAGGATGGGAGTAGGGACTTTGAGGGATGATACAAGAAGGCTAATATCTGGTAATTATTGAATAACTGGGTTATTAAATATTAGTTTTTCTTCAGTTTTTACTAATGAAGATGTAACTAATATTTCTCATCCTGAACAAATGCCAGATGGAAACGAGATTAAACAAGATGATCACATTAATTCTAAACTTGTTAACAAGCCCGATAATATTTACCCAAGGGTTATGAAAGAGATTAAGGATTGGATATGTGAGCCATTTGCTATTATGGTTTCTGAGTCCCTGAATAGTAGGCAGATGCCATAAGCTTGGAAGTTGGTTAATATTACTCCTCCTTTCAAGGGAATTAATAAAAACTATCCAAATAACTATAGGCCTATTATTCTTAAATCAGTGGTGGGAAAAGTTTTTGAAAGTCTGATGAAAAATACTTTGAAAAGTCATTTAACAAAGTTTAAAATTTTCTTGGATAGTCAGTACGGTTTTTCACTAGGAGAACATTTGCCTTACTACTCTTTTGACATTCGTTGAAAAGATTACTGTTTGTATAGATAAACGTACGGGTATGAATTCTGTGTATCTGAATTTTCAAAAAACATTTAGCTTGTTATAAAAGTCATTTCTGTAGCTGTGGGGATAGATTGACTCATTGGATTGAAAACTGATTGGATGAAAGAAAGAAGAGGGTTGTTATAAATGGAGATACAACCTAAAATCTTATTTGTCCTACGCTAGCAACAATACATTTCTTGGATGGATTAAGAGATTGATCAATCAAAACACCAAGATCTTGTTAAGGTTGTTCCAATCAAAAGTATACTCACAATTCAAATTGTGATATCCCACATGCATTACGTTGCATTTATTTTAATCAAAACCATCTGCAATTTATTGGCCCAACTCACTAAATAATCCAAATCATTTTGTGAAACAGCTGTATCTTCTTCACAATCACCAACACACAAAACTTTAATTATTTCGGTAAATGTGAATAATTTATTGATTATTTCTTCATCTGTGTCATTGATTTAGATTAAAAAAGAGCAAATGACCTAACACTGAGCCCAGAAGTACCCCACTTGCAAAATGAATCCCCTTGACTGAACTACATAAATGTTGAATGCAAATCTAAAGAGGTTAAAATGCTCTTGTATAGGACATTGGTTAGATAACATATTGAATTGTTGGAAATGGTTCAGAGAAGGGCTACTAGGATGATACCTTGGATGGAAATGTTTTCATACGAGGATAGGTTAAAATCTCTGAAATTGTTAGAAGGGATCTGATTGAGATGTGTAAGATTGTTAAGTGCACTGATAGTGTTTATGCGTCATCTTTTTTCATATTCAATGGTGAGAATGGTAAGACTGGGAGACACAAGTATAAAATTTAGCAAAGTAGGAGTCCTTTTCAGCTGACAGCTTTATTTTTTTATAACAGGATGGTTGGCCTTTGGAATGGGTTTTCTTCAGATGTGGAGGATGCAGTTAATTAAAGAGAGTTTAAGACGAAGCTTGATAAATATTAGAATGTTAAAGACTGGCTTTGAGTGTTTTATTTCTATTTTACAATTTATTGTAATGGATGAGACGGTTTAGATGGACCAACAGGTCCATTGTTGTCCTTAATTTGTATGTATATATGTATGTAAAGTAAACATTTCCAAAATTATAACTTGAATTGATACCCTCCATTTTCTTGCTTGGTTAAAATGAAATGAGCTGTTGAAGACGAATATCATGTTAATCGTTTTAGTAAAATGAATTGAACCATTAGTAACCATTGCCTGTATATTAATGAGGAGACTGGATCCTTGTGGTAGTTTTATTGTATTCGTTGAGTAAAGAGTTTCCCTTTCAACATATGAGATAGCGGATTAATACTTGTGAATATCACAATCACTGGTATATACTGCATCATTTCTGTATTTCAACATGTTTCAAATAGTCAAGTGTTTTGTGTTGAGCTACAAGTGACACCTACTTATCTATATGTATTGTTCGTAGGATCTTTGAAAATGTAACAAATAACAGCAAAAAACAAGGACAAGCTAAGCCATCGTAAGATCAATCGCATAAGTAACAGGTTTAAAGTTACACATAAACCTGTGTAAATAAACTTATTGCCGAGACATCTATCTACTTAAATAATACAAACTATGCAAAAATATTGGGAATCACATACATCCTACCAACTATATCTAACTTATATATTAGAAGTAATTTAAGTAGTTATTCGGAATATTTTATACGAATGTTTTAAAAAAAGACTTCATAACTATAATATTTAATGAAGGTAATTAAAAAAAATATTTTGTACATTAGGCCTAACATATATCTATAAATCGGATATGATCGTATCTAAGGAAACATTACAGGATCCACTGCTGAACAGTATAAAACAAACCAGTGATATGGACAAAAAAATTCTGTGTATATCCGTGTATTTAGAAATAGAGCTGAATTATTTTTAATTGAAGGTTGCTAAATTTCATCAGTTGCCTGGTAATAAAATAGTGAAAACACGTGAAATCCAATGATACATATATAGAAGTCAAACGATCATCGTGAAAAAGCAATTCGAATTTGATGAAATTTTACTGTCGCTCTTAAATTTGATTTCATGAAACAACAAATACAGATTTATTGTCTTAATAATACAAATCTAAATATCTATTTGTAATTATGCAAATAGAAATTGACTTCAACAGTATTCCAATTATGAATTTAGTTTCATATTAATACAGAGATTATTTATAATATTATATGAATTTTATAGGTATGTTAACACTTTGCTAATAAATTTTATCACTAAGCAAGCATTATATAGCTTATAAGAATGCAGTCATTAATCAATGTTTTGTTTTTCCTGCTTAAAAATAAATGACATTTTAAAGGATCAAATGTTTAAGCAACTGCATAAAGAGAAATCAAAAGTTAAAATCAAGGATGAGCAGTTACGTAAAGCATCATATTGAATTACTTTAAGAAGAAAATAAATGCATTTTGATGAGAAGATACCTTATGCTTACTGTTATCATAATAAAAAGTAGATTTTCCATTTTCTTGTGATTTAAGATATTTAAAAACCATTAATTAAGGAGTAGTGAGTGAATTTTGTGTAAAGCCGTGAAGTTCATTGAAGGTAAAATTCATTTTAGATGAAAACCTTCTTCCCGTACACATTAATCAACCTATCAGTTCCTTTTTTCTAGACGTTTATCAACGCGTGTAGACAGGTATACATCAGCAATACCTTTTTGTTTGCATTAATCAAGCCAGGTAAGTAGGTATACATCATCAATTCTTTTTTTTTTTACTCAAATGTAAAAACCTAGTTTTTTTTTTGTAAATATATATGTTAAAAAAATGTTATATCACTTAATTTAATCTAATTATTTTCTGTATGCTTATAATCAAAAGCATAACTGTACAAAATTATTGCAAGTTCTGTAAGTTTCTAAAAAATCCTCTATTCCAAACATAAAGGTTGATATTAATTTATAGATGGTACTAGTGCCCTAAGTTGATCTATAATCTTTTCCAATATCATTAAGTAGAAGGGATATCCCCTTTTCAGAAATTCCACATCCTTATTATATGCGTTTATTGAGTCAGAATGGGATGTTACATAACGTTCCGAAGGGCGATCAATATTCAGTGTCATCATACTACCTACGAAACGCCAAACAGTGTCAAAATGTAGTTGTGATACATTCCGTTCCACCGCGACTTTATATCAGTTGTGGTTACGTGACTTGCTAGTTTGCATATTCAAAATCGTTTTAATATAACAAACTCAACCCTCTGTATCTACTTTGATTTTTTTTCTTATCCGTTGAAAATTCCAAGAGCTCAATGTCAAACATGTAGGTGAAAATGAACGGTGTTTAACCCTAATGGATGTTTTACTAATCATTTTCACAGTAAATCTCTATACAATTCACATCAAATAATATTAATTCTTAATAATGCTACTAGTTACTTTTGTGTGCTTTTTAGTTATTAATTGTCTAAAAGAGTTCGTTGAAACCAGATTTTGAAATTTCGTAATGAATCTAAGTTAAAGATTAGGATTATCGATTGTGTTTGAACGTTCTGAGAATTTTTTTACAATAAATATGCATGTATTTTAATATATAAATTTGATTTCCATCATGTCTGTCTGTATGTAGCTGTTAGCTGCATTATTATTAAGTGTTTTAAGCATTTACCACAGTGCACACAAGAGTATTGAGACTGTTTGGTCTAATGCGCATCTCAATAGTGTGCTTGTAGTTGTACTATGATTAAGCGATTTGCTAGCTTATCACAGTATAGTGTTTGCTAAACTTGTCTTGTCTCAATGCTTTAAGCTGGGAGTGGCCTAGTGGTTAGTGTGCCGGACTGGGGATCTAAAGTTCCTCGTTTCGCATCCCTTTACTACAAAAAATAAATAAATAAATATCGCGCTCCTCACTTTGGGGTTGTAAAATCGTAATAAGGGTGACGGTCAAACCCCATCATTCTGAGGTTAACGATGGTTAACGCAGATAGCCTCGTGTAGCTTTATGCGAACTTTCGAAACAATCAATCAATCAATGCGTCTGCCTTCAGTTGTATGCTTGTAGTTATACCGAAATATTTTTGTTTTGTCTTGCTGTTCTTCTTGTAGTTCTCCGAAACACAATCAATACCAGACAACCGAGTGTGTTACAGAAGACAACCACGCAACTGATTAACTTAAGTTCGATTTTACGCTATATGTCAGCCAATGAAAATTCTAAGAAAAAATCTGTGCTTTTCTATCGAATCAGCAATGCGGAGTGTTTACGGTTGTTTAATTCTATCAGTCACATAAAACGGCTTAAAGCCTTCATATTTCAAGTCAGGAAAGGTTAAAGTCGGTAATTTGCTATTAGGATTATTGGCTAAAGGTTAAAATACCATTCACTTATTCATGATTAGTTTGTTTCTAGTGCACGTGTGAATAAGAAAATTATAATTTTAATTGATGAAAATTATTCTGTGGATAATCATTTCCGCATAAAGAATTAGCACAATAAAAATATGGATTTATTTATTTGTCTGTTTATTTGCTAAAGAATTAGCACAATAAAAATATGGATTTATTTATCAGTCTGTTTAGTTGCTAAAGAATTAGCACAATAAAAATTGGATTTATTTATCTTTCTGTTTATTTGCTAAAGAATTAGAACAATAAAAACATGGATTTATTTATCTGTCTGTTTATTTGCTTCAGTTCACAGTATACTTAAAACACACATTTAAAAAACATTTTTTTAAATAAAAAATGTTCATAATACTTCTTTACATTTTTTACTTCTTTAATGTGGATTTTTTATGATTAAAGTCCACTAACACAAATATCTGATCTTCTGCATGCTGCAAAATCATGTCATAATGTCAAGATGGGTGAATATAAGTAGTAAATGTAAGGTAGCCATCCCAAAACATTTTCCAGTCAGTAACTCCTAGATATTACGTTCTATTAAATGAGAAATTACTGTTCGTGATAAAGTAGCAGTGGAATTTGTAAATCTATATGTTATAAAAAAGGATCATAATATTATTAAAAGTCATAAGAGTTGTTTAAAAACCTTTAATATCCGTTAAAATTTATTCAGCGGATTCGTAAATGTTCGAGAGCAACAACCTCATTCTCCAATTCTTATTCACATATATACTTTAGGCTTGAAACCTAAAAATAGTCTTAACTATCCGTTTATATATAGACTTTAAGATGACCATTTTTACCATACATACAAGAATATAATAAGCTATCTTCCGCTATTAAACTGAAGCTGAACATTCTCCAGGAGTAACATATACACAGCTGTTGTATGCAAGTCTCCTAATTAGCCTTCTAAATTCACGCCATTTGGGTGGATTTGGGTAATTAATAGTGAATCATAGTGCCCAGTTACTGCTATAGACCTACAACGTAAATAAAAAAATCTTGAACCTTATTCTGGATAAATATTACTCTGTAAGATACAATAACTCAGGCTGCAGCTTCCGTGGTAATGAAATTCTACACATTGTTTAAATTCATGTTATTTGTTTCTGCGAATTTATTAAATTTTAGCATTTTTTTCTATTCCTATAAGGATAGTTCCCCGGTGGGATAGCGGTAAGTCTACGGACTTACGACGCTAAAATCTGGAGCTCGATTCCCCGCGGTGGACACAGCAGATAGCCCAACGTGACTTTGCTGTAAAACAAGCAAACAGACAAACCTATAAAGATAAGTACATTGAACTGTGAAATATATTCTTTTCGAAACATTTCCAAAATGATATTTGTTTTAGAGCAAAGCCACTTCGGCTATCTCCTGTATCCACTTTGGGGAATCGAACCCTGGATTTTAGCGTTGTAAGTGCGTAAACTTACTGCTGCCCCACCGGGAGACATAACTGTTCACGTAAGTACATACCACGACATAACTTGTCAAGAACTGAAATACCCATCATACATCTAACATTCACAATTAAAAAGCTGCTAACTTAAAAGGTTTAACAACAACGTTATCCTAAAAGTTTCTTGTCAGAATCTCGTGTGAGAACCAAACTTGGTTGTAGTACATATCTAATCAAAAACACCTTAGGTGTGGGAAAAAAGGCGTGGCCAAAAAAGATTCAGCGGGTGAAAGGAATGAAATCAAGATTGGCGGACAAACTGGTAGCTACACTTATAGCACTGATAAGAATTTTACAGCAAATATTCATTTGTTAGTTAGCCAGGCCGCATTTTGTGTTCAACTTGGGGCATGATGGTGGGTAAAACAAAATACACTGCCTTGCTAACTAATGAATGAATATATGCTGTAAAATTCTTATCAATGCTATAAGTGTAGCTACCAGTATAGTGGTAGTTTTTCCTCTCTCAAACAGTGTTAATAACGTCCTTTATACTAATGCCATGGAATTTAAATTAACAGTTTCTTGTCATCACCCTGTTGCAATCGGTATAGCCGTATCAAACATCATTATTCATGCTAATTGATTAAGCTAATATCACTTGACGCTAAACGCTCATTAATTAAGATATCTTCATAAAACGTAGTAAATTTGTGGTGAAAAGTTGACAATGAAAAATGAATAATGACCATCCGCCCGTATGATTCTTTTGAAAACTTGAGGAAGAAACTGTTAATCTAGTTTGCTTGGCCTAACCAATGCTTATGTATCTGCACGTCCCTTAACTCTATAGTTTTGCTGCTCTGAATCAGCCGTCTTTAATCTGAATGACAAAAAACTAAAAAGGTCCACTTTTACTCTTAGGTGAAACTAGTAAAAATGTTAGACCGATAGCCCACGTGACTTTTTGTGCAGGCGTGCGTAAAACAATTTCGTTAAATTTGAGCTGTTTTTGTTGAATAACTTTGCACTTGTGGTTTAAATTTACACCAAATGAGACTCCGAATTGTAGACTGTAAAGATCTATCAGTGTATCAAATTTGAAAAAAAAAATGTAAAAGTTATATGTGTTTTTCTATCAAATAAAGTTCCCGTACTTTTGGTGCGAAAAAAAATGGAAGAATTCAATCAAAATTGAAGATGTTATATCTCAGGTATTACTCAATGGATTGCCTTGAAATTTGGTATGTGAAGTAAGAGTCTAGTATAGCACATCCGCTGAAAATATGTAATAATTTGAATTACTGCAGTCTGAGCTACAGAAAGTGGAAAATCACTAAACATCACTCCTGTTAATAACACAGTGTGTCCTGAAGGTTGTTTTTTTTTTTGCCACAAGACACACTATCGTTCTTTCAGATAATGAAATCGGTATTTTAAACCTGAATGGCACCACTGAACGTGTGGACTAATCGGCCAGATCAAATAATCCCCGGAGTCCAAAGCTGAAATTGCGGAGTTTGTTCGGCCTCATTGTGTCTCTAAACCCGGACCCGTCTATCCGCAACTGGTCACATTCAAGAAACCACTAAGCCAAGCTTAATGCTTTGGTATCGTTTTGCGTAATTTATATTGTCCTTCTAACTGTTACATATAATGTCAGATAGATTTATGGAGAGATTTATTAACATGATTAAAAAAATATTTAAAGAACATTTTAGGTTGAAACCAATAACTTAGTGGGATTGAAAATAATTTCTTCCAGACACTAAATTATCATTTTAACATAAGTAAAATACTTGAAATAAACAACATTTTACGATTTATTTATTGGTGGCTATTTGTTCATTCATTTAGCAATCCTTTCCTACAGTCAAGCATAAAAACAAAACTTTAAGTTGTTAGCCAAAAGATATAAATATGTTAATAAAATAATTTGTCTGATTAACTGGTTATTAAGAGATTAATTATTGACTACTTATTGTTTGTTGTTTAAGCCTAAAGCTAGACAATGCACTCTATCCACCACGGGGAATCGAACTCCGGATTTTAGCAATGTAAATCTGGAAAATCATCGCTGACTACCAGGGGACGTTTGTTGACTAATAAACAAAGAATAAAGTGTATATCTACTGGTTAAAAATTGATGACTTTCAGTGTAGATTTGGTTATGTCATTGGTAAATATATTCATGAAACTGTAAATTGTTTAACTAACTGATTAATAGCCATGCAGATTGTTTGATGCTTTATTAATGAACTAATGAGCAAAAGGAAAGATTAATTATACTTGTCATAAGACATTAGTATTAGCCTTATTATATTTTAGCACTACATTCTTTATTCAATCCCTTAGGATTTTTTCAGGAGGAAGAAGAAGAAGAACGTATTCAAGTATTTCAAACACACTATGACCGCCATATCCATTGCCAACGAAGCATTACGCTCAATACAAAGGTCATCGGGCCAGCTGGACACAACAAACAAAGTAATGGCTGTAACACTATTTATATGTGATATTTATTTAGGCCTAATACTAATATTTTATAACAAGTATAATAAATTCTAATTATACTTCGCCAGCTTAAAAAAGGCGTTCACACCATAAAAAGTGAAGACTGACAAATACTATAAGAAAAAAGTAAATGGTTTGATTAACTGGTTAAAAAGTGTCGTAGACTTGGTTAAGTCATTGATTACTACGTTCCTGGGACTGTAAATTTGTTCAATTTATTAAAAACACGATAATGGAAGTGTAGGTTATTTGACTAATAAGATAAAAAATAAGAATTACACAGTAAATTATTTAATATTTTACTGATCAACTTACGAAAGAAGTGAGGTGTGAAAAAATACACAAAGTATACATCTTTTATATTGTCTTTAGATAAGAAAGCTTTTAGCTATCCTCTGCTCCTGTATTGGAATTCTGATAAATGTGGTATATGGAACTTTATAGAGAACTGTCACGAGTAGTTCTTGCCGACTTTCTGACAATCGATATGTTTAGAAGAGAATGCTATAAAAGGAAAGCAAATATTACCTCGTAAAAAGGTATAACATTTATAACTACCAAACCAAGATCTATATAATAAAAATGATAACACTCGATATAAGGTAATATCACAAATAAACATGACTTAATCATATGTACGTCACATGTAAGTCTGCTAGAAACATGATAAGTATGATACATATGAACCAATAAAAGTTTTTTTTTTTACTATTTTCTGGTTAACAACCACACTTACATGGAGTTGCACAGCCTTCACAATGGTAAACTGTGGTGATCTTAAGAAATCTTACAAGTTCTGGTATGTGATTCTTATGTACAATGCATAAGGTATCTATATATATATATAAAGACGAAATGTGTGTTTGCACCCTAACTCCTCCGAGCCTATTGGGCCAATCTCAACCATACTCAACTATGAACTATGGGGAATGTCCTAAGTGGGTAACAATTGAACTTAACACTATTTCTATTTTGTAAAGCCTGTTGGTTAATTAGTCTCAGCCTAATGAGTCAATCTCAAACAATCTTGGCAGGTTGACACTTTAGACAATGTTGAATATTGTAAGGGGATTCAAGGTCAAAATATGAAAGTTGCTGGATTGTTTCTCAAACAACCATGCTTTTCTCATGGCCAGTGGAATGTAGCGTGTTCAAGGGTGGTATCACCTCAACATTTTTATTTGTTGGTAGATGGAAAGCGAATGTTGTTTATGAAGAAGCTTTGTTTTAATTTTAAAATTTTGAGATAAAGTTTATGTTTAAATTATTACTTTGAAATATATTATTGC